CTTTCCTTGTCTTTCCCCCACATTCTGTTCTCCAGTGAACCGAGAGAGAGGACATGCCGAGGTCCTCATGTCTGGGGTGGGGGAGGAGGTTGGACGAGGGTGTGTGGGGTGGGGGTGGGGAGAGGAAAATAAATAAATAAACGAAGAGAGCTTAAGTTCTGTCCAAGGTGGTGGCGGGAGTCCTCTGTGTGGCCAGGGTAGAGTTCTTCCCTGGGCCCTGTCTTCACGCTTTGCCGCAAGTCCCACAGCAGCGAGATTTGAACTGGCTGAGTTGGCAGAGTTTTAGCTGTTTGACCTTCTCGCAGTACCTGGTAGTATCTCTGCACTCCACTGGGAAAGGGGACAAAAGAAAGATGTGAAATGGAGCTAAAGGCTGTGGCCACTGGGTGCTTCCTGGGGTCTGCCTTGGGCACTGGACTCCCATGCTGGAGGGGCCCCTGCTGTCCAGCATCTCTGCGCTGGCCTCGCTCTGGTGGCACTCAGCCACCTGCCTCCCAGCCTGCCAACAGGCTGCCGTTGTTGGCCGGCTGACACGGCCCAACCCTCGGCCTGTTCTACTGCCTTTCTGATGGCACGCTTCCTTCCGGAGGGCGCTGTTCATCTCCCTCTCCTCGGGACCGCCTGACCTTCTAAGGCAAGCTGGCCTTTCCCCGTGGTATTTAAGTGGCTCTCCTCGAGCTGGTTCCCAGAAGGACTCAATGCTGCGCCACTCTGACGTGGTGTGCAATGAGGCCCCGGTTGATGGCCTCATCCCCTGGAATGTGAGCCTTCTTTCCTCCGTGAAAGTTTCTTAACACTGTCCACCCAAGCCTCTCTACTCCTTCCCCTGACCATGTCTTGCCCGAGCACTGTGGCCTCTAGTTCAGTATTGGCACAAACGAGATGGTCCTTAGCTATTGGTGCTGCTTTGGGTTGTGGACTTCTGTGACCAACATAGGAAGTCTGAAATACTTTGACTGAACATTAGTGCTAACTGTGGTGAGCTCTTGACATAAAGATGGGTCAGCACCACACAGAGAACAAAGATCATTCCTCCCCAGTGTATAGGCAGTGGGACAATTTGCCTACAGGACATCCTTCTCAGCGTTGGAAATCTCATGCTCAGAGAGGCCCCGTTTAGGGGAAAACTGCATGGCAACATTTAAAAACTTTGTATTCTTTGTCTCATACTTTGTCTTCTTTCCTGTGGGGAAGGACCTCCAGTTTGTTTTGGGTCCAGAGGAAGAAAAAATATCCAACTGGGATACAAATGCCGGTGTTGGGCAGAGGAGGATCCAGACTTGAGGGAGGAGGGAGTGAAAGAGTAGATCTCAAGGGCATGGGCTCCTGCACAGTTCCGGTGGGTGCCCGTGGGTTGGGAAGGAGGGAGGGCAGCCGGTCCTTGTTCTGTGAGAAGCAGAGCCATGATGGGTGCAAGGCCAGCTGGGCAGGAGGCACTCTGTGTGCTCTTCTAGTGCAAACGGTGCTTTCTGTCTAGTAGCCCGGCCCCCAGGAGGCACTGATTGTCGTCCCCTGGGTACCAGCCAAACTACTGCGGGTGAGCTGGAGGCTGACTTCGTTTAGCATTTGGCCAATAGTACCTGGCTTTGCCCAGGGCCAAGATCGAGCCCTTGGGGGCACACTCAGCCATCTTTCATGGCCTGGACATGCGTATACATATCTTTGCTCGCTTGCATGCACCCCTGTGACCATACCCAACTCTGGCCCCAGCTCACAATCCTTGGGAAACCTGGTCCAATGCCCTACGCTCAGGGTCAGTCCTGGGGACTGCCCTCTGCCCCCGATGCCCTGTGGGGAATTGGCAGAAGACTCTTTGGGGTTGGAACATACTGTTTTCACATGGGGTGATGTTGCAGCGCTGCCAGTTGGCCGGCCGGGGGCCCCAGGAGCACAGGTGTTCAGGCACTGCCTTGTTGGTGCGGGCGTGCACACACTCCACACGCCGGGATTGGAAGCCATAGTTGCCGCAGGTCGCCGTGCACAGGGTCCACAGGCTGACCCTCCAGTGTACGCTGCAGGCTTCTGACCAGCAGTTCTGGGTGCTCACGGGCCTGCAGGACGAGGGTGGCGGGGTTAGGGTCTGCCTCTGTGGGCACGGGACTGGGGAACAGATGTGAAGACATTGTCGCAAACCTAAGAATGTTGGGCAACTGCTCAAACACTTCTATTGCCACCAGACCTGGGTTTTGGTCTCTGCTCCGTCAGTGAGGGGTTGTAAGATCTCGGAAGGACAATTGCTCTGATTGGCCCTCTGCGTCCTCATGGGTATACAGTCTGTATCGCTGTATGACCCAGGAACAAACTCTGTCCAGGATGGGGGCTGGCAGAGGCAGAGCCTGGGGCTGGGGCCTTGGGCGGGGATGGTGAGCCCTCACCCCAAGGGGACAGCCACAGGAACGCATGACAGGGAATGGGGACTGGATGGGAACGATAGGTTGAGACTCAGGGATAAGAGCCCTCATTCGGCATCACTTTTATAGGAAGGCCAACAAGAGTGAGGGGCTGCTGGAGCCCTTGAAATCTGGCGGTCACTTCATAGCCCTAACTTCCTGCGCACTCTAGGGTTAGTGCAGATCTCATGCGGTATCAGGCCACCCTCAAAGGAATAGCACCCTCTGCACTCTTTGTTTGCAAAAGAGGAGAGCCCACCCACCCTGGCACATTCAGCACATCTATCTCTAGGGAGAACAATGGCCTGGGGAGAATGGAGGGCGAAAGGGAAAGGGGATGTTAGAGGAGAAACACTCACTTAACACTGTCTTTCCATGCTGTTGACCCAGGGGCTGGGGAAAGGAGGTCCATGGCTTTCTCTTACCTTGGAAGGGCACTGCACTGCTCTGATGGTAAGGTGATGCCATCCCGTGTCTGGCAGAACACTTGTCTGTGTTGCACGGCTAGGTGAGGCCCGATGCAAGGCCCATTGCACTGGGAAGCAGATAAAGGAGGCATGTATAATGTTAGCCAAGTCAAGGGAGAGGCTGCGATGCTCAGGCTGCATGAAACACAGAACCCTTCTGCTGCATTTTGTTTGGGGCCTTCAGATCATTCATCTTGCTCCTCTTTGTATATCAACTAAAAAACATTGGCATATTTTCTTCTCTTTGTGCCATAGTGGAATAGTTAGCTTTCCTGTGGTCTATGAGCCTTCTGTTAGCAAATGGCTAATGGTAGTGTAGAGCCAGTTGGAGAATGTCAGCTCCCTCCCAGATTAACCATATAAAAAGGTTTCTTGGCATAATATACTAAGAGTGTGGTGTGGTAAGCTTTAGAGCAGAAGACTTTTAAGCACCCCTTCAGTCCAAAGGGTAACTTGGTTTGTTTTCTTGCTAAATTCATCCAAGTTAACTAGTCCATCATTTCTTTCCTTTCTTTGGCTTCATTTTTTCCAGGTCAAACCCAGCGCAGATGAACAGGAGTAGACTTAGGTATGCACTGTCTCTGCTCATTCTCCTGCTATGTGCTCAGAGAGGTTGTTAAAATTTCCCAGAGTTGATGGAGCCAGACTATCACAGTAAATACCCCATACCAAAGCAGCAGATCCTTAGCCAAAATTTTCTATTTGAGTAAAGTAAGGCGATAGACATCTCGTGGAGGTCACTTTTGAAAGAAATCTCTTGGGGATCTTTAGACTCCAAGTGTCCACCGGGGAGCTGTTAACCTTCAAAATTATAAGTAAAAATCTTTAAAAAAAATCTTATTTTTTCTTTTTGGCCCCCTTCACCCATTTCTCTTACCTTTTATTTTCCTGCCTCTGGCAACTCCTACCAATCTGTGTGTGTGTGTGTGTGTGCATGTGCACATTTGTATTAGATTCCACATACAGGAGAGATCACAGGGTATTTGTCTTCTTTCATTTAGTGTAATGCTCTCAAGGTCCATTCATGTTGTCACAAATGGCAAGACTTCCTTCTAATGGCTGAATAATATTCCATTATACATACATATTATATCACATATATGTATGTATAATACATATATATGTATGTGTATAGTATGTATGTATAATGTATATAATATGTATATGTGTATACATGTATATAATATGTATGTATAATACATATATACATTATATATGTGTTATGTACATATATACATATTATATACATATATTACATATATATATATCACAATTTCTTTATCCATTCACCATTGCTGGCCCCTTAGATTGCTTGAATATCTTATTTATAAATAATGGAATAAATATGGGGTTACATATGTCTTTTTGAGTATTTTCATTTTCTTTGGATAAATTCTACCCAGAAGTGGAATTGCTGGTTCACATGGTGGTTCTGTTTTCAGTTTTTTGTGAACATCCCTACTGTTTTCCATAGTGGCCGCACCAATTCATATTTCCACCAACAGCGCACAAGGGTTATCTTTTCTCCATATCCTTGCCAACAATTGTTATCTTTTTGATAATAGTCATTTTGACAGGTGTGGGGTAATATCTTGTGGTGGTTCTGATTGGCATTTTCCTGATAACTGGTGATTATGTACTAAGATACCTTTTCATGTACCTGCTTGCCATCTATGTCTTCTTGGGAAAAATGTCTATTCAAA